CATGACATACTTGCATTCACATTTATTACTAAGTCAAAAACTTAGACTAAAGCAGATAACTAAACATACTCAAGATCAAGATCGTGTGCAAAGTGTGTGGTATATGGTGGAAATGGAAAATAAAGAAAAAGCTTCTCCTTTGTGCTTACTTTCTTCTCCCAAAAATCCTTCCTTTATTGATTTGGAGAGGGCATGATTACATTTTTTTTCTCAATATCATGCTCATGCTTGATGGAGCGTAATTTTATTTTTTTTCATAATCATGCATTTTCCTCCTCTTTTTTTTTCAAAAGGATTTTTTTCTTTTTAGGAGAAGAAAACACATGAAAGCGTGGAGAATTTATTTTGGTGGTAATATGAAAATAGAATGGAATATTGCTTAGCTCCCAGTGTAGGAGATTAGCATGTGCACATATGTGGGTGTATGATCTTGATTATAGAGCATAAGAAGTATCTACACAAGTCACAAGAGTTTGACAAAGTTCAATAGAATGGCAAGTAACCAAAATGTATATAGTTTCATCATGATAGCACATTTTTGGCTTTGGTAGGAATTTATATCAAATGAGGAACTTTCAATTTCATCATTTTAAAAAACAAAACATCTGGAATTCAAGTCAAACTAGTATTAGGATCATAGCAACTCATATTTACTATCTCATATCTCGCAACAACTTAGACTTAGATCAGCAAGTGCAGCTCATTTACCTCAGGTTCCCGGATAATTATTGGCTACTTATATTTAACCTTTGAGAAAGCACTTACCAAAAACCCATATATAAGAGATATAAAACAGAGCAACTATTCATCATTTCAACAAAGAAGAACTAGCTTGTCTTACCTAGCATGACTTAAACCTATCCTATCTTTTTGGTATTTTCTATTTTGTAAATTTTTATGTTGTTTTCAAATTTTATAAGATGCAGTTGGAAAGCAAACATGCAATTGGAAAGGGAAATATGCAATGTGATACAAGTTACCTTAGTTCATCTCTCCCCCAAGCTTGGATTTCGCTCAGGGTCCTTGATAAGGATTGAACCCCTGAAAGCGGAAGTATGCTTGAAGGTCATCGTGTTGTTGCTGCATCATGTTGTTGATGTTGGCAAACTGAGCATCAACAGATTGTTGCTATTCTTGCGTTTGTGCTATGTGTTCCGAGAGGTTGTACTGGATCTCCCCGTCTGCACATCAAGGGTGTCCAATCTCCTAGTGATTTCACCCAAGTCCCAACGAGAGAAACTTTAGCGCCATTCACTTGGAGATGGAGGCACACCACTTGATCTGGAGGGTTGGTTGTTCCCCCAATGTATGTCATGAGGCGCACGCCACCGGTCCTCACTGGCACTTGCCCAGCCTGAAACTCCGATGCTGTGGCATGGAGCTTGGGTCCATCCAGGTGCATCCCTAGTTGGTGCCCAACCTGCCTCATACATCTGCACGGGTGTTGAGGATGATGAACTTTCTCGTTCATTTCTTGTCATGTTGCGCGTCTCCCTGTATGTTCCACCTACACGAGATTCTTCTATGGTCTGCAGGGGTATGGTTAGTTCATGACAGTTGTACAAATGATACCCCGCATTTGGCAACGGGATTTCATTTGTACAACCGGGGAAAAAGTAAATTAAAGATCCATCTACTCCATGTTTCAAGATATGCCCTTGCACTAGATAAGCTTCATCAATACGCGGACGAGCGGCTGAGATAAAAGCCATTTGGTCGCTAACGACCCCTAGCCCTTTTGCTATCCGAGTAATCAGAGAAGTGCACTCAACAGGAGCACAGAACTTGATACTTTCTAACCATGGCAAACATGATAATTAATTCATCTCCCCTTATGGGTCTCAGATCACCTCTAGGAAATAGAGTCATAGCAATCCATTTGTGCATGAGCCTAAGTGTAGGATTATGGATATCATTCATCCTAGGTTTCTTGCAAATTGGAGCACCAGAAATATCTTCGCAAAACCTATTTTTCTCGAACCCAGAAATTCCTTTCTGGAGATCGATTTTACAGGAATCGTGAAAACCAAGAAGTGTGCTTAAGCCTTTCCATGTAAGTGTAAACTCCTCACGGAAAAAGCGAAAGGAAATCCCATCTTCTATTTCTTTCAAAGTGCACAGAAATTGCAAAGTAAGCAAACGAGAACCAGGCTCATCTACCACAGCAAATCTCTGCCAACCAACAACTTTCCAAATAGCACGAAATTCAGTATCCATACCTATCTTTTTTAGCAGCTCCGGTGAGTATTCTTACGTATGAGCATACTCCCGGTCACTCAGCATGTAGTAGGCCTGTCTCTCCCGATCACTGACAAGGTCGAGGTCGGTGTTGTTCAGGAGTTGTCGCGGAGCTTCGGTGTCTTCCATCGAGACATCAGCTGATGAACGAGTACTAGACTCGTCATGACGACTTGATGAAGAGCTGGACCCCTTGAACAGACGAGACAATCGCCTTCTCATTCCGCACAATGGAGCAAGAACGGACTAACTCGACGGGGGTTAGGAATGACAAGGATTTCACCCGCCGATTAGTTTCACCAAAGCAACTTATATATATATATATATATATATATATATATATATATATATATATATATATATATATATATATATATATATATATATATATATATATATATGTATATGCAGCTAAGTGTTTGAATTTGAGGGAAACTATCAAGGCTTGAATGAATTTGAGAGCAAACTTTGGAGAGGGAAAGAAAATGTGTTGAAATGGGGTGGAATTCCCTCTCTCGGTCGGCTGGCTCTTATAGGGTACCCACAACGGTCAGAAATGACATGTAGGACCCACTAGCCGTTACCCTGCCAAAAGTGGCAGGGAACCGTTGCCGAACCAAGGTGTTTGGCCGAACCCCTAGTGGGCCCAACCGGCCCCACTTTCGGCCGTTGGATTCCAACGGTCGGTGTGGTCGTGGCACAATGAATTTTCGTGGAAAATTTTATTTTGGTTTGTTCTGAAAAATTCATTTGAAGAATTTCCTCAAAATTCAAAAGTCCTAAATGCAATTTTGAAAATTAAACGTGTGATGATGCAAAAATTTCAAATTGTTGAAGGCAAATATGCAGATACATACCAATTTACCTGTTGGCGAAGGTCACGTCATTTAAAGTCCGACGTGCAGGACTGTACCTCCTTCCGATTTAGTTCATGGTTTTTCCACCCGTCTCCGGAGGTGATGGAGCGGGCGTCTTCGGCTTCTCCCTCCACACCTTCCTTGGTTTTGGTGCGGAGGGCGGCTTCTTCTGAGCCGGCTGCTCTAGCTTCTTGGCTGGTATTGGTGGTTTTACCGGCGTCCTCCAATAACGGTTCCTGGGCATCGTTGTTTCCTTCTTCAGGAAATTCTGCATGAATTTCACCAGGCTGTCCGTCTTGGGTGGCTCCACTTCGACCTCTTGAATATTCTGCGGGTTCGGCCCGTACTTTATTCTGACCATAGAGCATTGTTCCGTCCTCGGTTGAAACTAAAACTTTTCCTCCTTCCCGTTGATATGGAAACGGATACTCCCCGTTCCCACGTCAATATTGGCTCCCGCGGTGCTGAGGAACGGACGCCCTAGGATGAGCGGCGTCTCTTTTCCCGTGTCCATGTCCAGTACCATGAAGTCAACTGGGATGAAGAAATCCCATATCTTGACTGGCACATCCTCCGCTATCCCTACCGGGTAACGGACTGACGAGTCAGCCAGTTGTAGGCGCATCGGTGTTGGTGCCAACACCGTGAAGTTGAGCTTGTCGAAAACGTCTTTTGGCATGACGCTGACGCTAGCTCCAAGGTCGCACAAGGCCTGGTCGAACTGTTGTGCCCCGATCGAGTAGGTGATCGTGGGACACCCCGAATCTTTCTTCTTTTCCGGGAGCTTGTGGAGTATAACGTTGCTGCATTGTTTCGTCAGCTTGACTACCTCCGTTGTTGGGAGCGGTCTCTTGTTGTTGAGTATGTCCTTGAGATAACGGGCGTATGTTGGCACTTGCATGGCGTCCAACAACGGCACGTTGATGTGGATTTTCTGGATTACTTCAATAAAACGAGCGAATTGCTCGTCCACTGACGGTCTCCTTCGTTGAGGGAATGGCAGCAACCGTGTGTCGCCGTACTCTTGCGGCACTGTCTTTTCTGGCTGAACTTCCTTGTCAGCCGAGTCACTAGACGGTGCTTCTTTTGACATCCCAGTAGTTCCTGCAGGGTTAGGATATGGCGGATCACGAGTGGACTTACCTCTCCTCGTCGTGATCGCCTTGACATTTTCAATGGAGGAGTCGGGTTGCCCCGGAATCCTCCCAATTTCATTTGCAGGGACTAAAGATGCCAACTCAGCTAACTGGGTTTCTATCATTTTATTAAAGCTCAGCTGATTTTGAAAAACGGAAGCAAAGCCATCTAATTTGACATTTTTGTTCTCTAGGACCTTGTCATTAGCCGCAAGCTTTTTGCTTAGCGCATCAGTGGTTTTAGCTTGCGCAAAAACGAGATCCTTCAAGGAGGGCTGGTTAGAGAAATTACCGTTATTGTTACCTCATTGATAATATGGGCGTGGTTGGTTCCACCCCTGACCACCTTGTGGACAGTACCCGTTGTTGTTGTTGCCCATGTACATCGCCTCCTCACGAGTTTCCGGGCAGTCATTCCTAGAATGACTCGTGTTGCCGCAGACTTCACACGTAACGTGTGAGTCCAAGGCCTTGACGGTGCCTTGTGGTCGTTTCTCGTGGTCGTCCAATCGCTTCATAAGTAGGTCCAGCTTGGCAGCAAGTAACTCCGTCTCCTTGACGGTGTGTATACCTCGCTGTCGGGTCTGGAGTCGTTCCTCGCTCCATCCCATATTGGAGACCATCTTCTCTGTTAGATCAACGACTCCTTGAACCGTTTTAAAGAAGAATGCTCCTCCAGCTGCCGCATCCAGGTGATCGCGGGACGTCGGGGTCGCGGGACGTCGGGGTGAGTCCATTATAAAAATTCTGCAGAATCAGCCAGTCGTCCATCCCATGATAAGGACAGGCGGCAACGTACTCCTGCAGTCGTTCCCATGCTTCTGGAATAGACTCATCCCTCGTCTGCTGGAAAATTGAAATTCGTCCATGAAGGGCATTGGTTTTGCCCATCGGGAAGAACTTCGAGAGGAATGCCATAGAACACTTATCCCAGGTGTTGACAGCAGCACGGTTGGCATAAAACCACTGCTTCGCTCTCCCGAGAAGGGAGAATGGAAACAGTCCAGCCTGACGGCGTCGAGACTGACGCCCTTGATGGTGTACATGCTACAGATCTCCAGGAACTGTTGCAGATGAGCATTGGCATCCTCATTAGGCTTGCCACAGAATGGGCTAGCCTGCGCCATCGTGATGAGTCTGGACTTCAAATTGAAATCCATGTCTCCCATGTTGATCTGTGGCCCAATGGCCACATTGTCAGCAGAGGGAGCAGCGAACTCGCGGAGAGTCTTGCTAGCCATAGTCTTGAAAATTGGTGGCGCTGGTACGGCTGGTTTCTCTGTCGGTAGAGTTTTCTGCGGAGCAGCGACTCGCGGTCTGACGCTCCGGAAGAAAGCTTCTGGATTTTCCTTGAAATTTTCCGGCAGGTTGAAACCAGTCATGCACTACCCTGTTCTCACAACAAAGGTGAAAACAACCAAGGTTAGCCTGCAAAGGAAAATGATTATACAGAGGCAAATATAAAATATTAGTTCAAGTAATCTCTATTATGAATTTTCCCCGGCAACGACGCCAGAAATGCTTATTTGGTATTTCTTAACGACATTACTAGAAATATAATTCCCAGCAATGGCGTAGAAATAATTCTGGTATATTATGGTTACAGAGTTCATCCGCAAGCGCACGGATATACCATTGTAGCATTTCACCCGAGAGTATTCGAAATGTATCGTATTTATTTTATCCCGTGGGAAGATCATGTAGAGAGGACTTAACTAATAATTTATATGTTGCTTGTAATAATCATATTCTAAGCAGGGGTTAAGATAATCCAAGGGTAGAGTGACACACAAGCATTAACTACTCATTCTCATAATATATTATCTAAGCTAAGTGGAAAGGAAAGAGGAAGATAATCTATTCCTATACTTCTAATATACATAGTATACATACATCTTAGTAAACTGATATACTAGCTAATACCCTCTTTCCGATGCCCTCCTGGTACTTCGAGAAGCCACCCCTGACTGCCGAGTTCCTTACGACAGCCCGTCATGACCATACAACCGGGGCTAAATACGGAGGAATACCCTCCCCAGGAAATTAACTTAGGATTATATATAGGCGCGGAGGAATACCCGTACCGATCTATCACCATCAGCGGCCCACCTCTCATCCGCAATATATAACCCCAAATAATAATATCCCGTAATCTAGACACCACATCTAAACTACCAGATACTTCTCTAATATCATCGTCATGACATAGAGTAATTGCATAAGCAAACATTATACCCGCACCAAAGCATCTCCCAGATAAGCTAGCCGTATATTCAGTATAACAAGAACATAATGTAAAGTAGGTACTCATATACTCGGAAAGTATTTCAATACCATAAATGTATTTAGAAGAGTATTCTAATAAAAGTACAAGGCTTACAAAAGAGAAGAGAAAAGCTGCTAGAGCCATACCCGAACTCTTCCGAAGACTTTCGGACTCCTGATTTCTACTCTATTCCTATTCCACCAGCTAGATACTACTAAACTAAGCTATTGCTTGAGGTGTGTGTTGAAGTGAAGAGAGTGAGCTCATTATATAGAGGTAGTTATGACGGTTGTGGAAGGGGAATTGTCCGAAGTGCCCTCCAACCGTCATTGGGATGCAATCCTGGACGTCCACACCAAAACCTAGATCCGACGGCGCCAGGATTGGTTCGGCTGAACCTGGGGCTGGCCCAATCCAGCCCAATTTCGGCTGGTGGCCTCCTCTATTGCTCCACTCTGCAGACTTGTGAATTTTGGCCCAATTCATCGTGTCAATTCTGAGTTCTTAGCCCATTCATACATAAGTCTGATTGTCGATATCGTCCGATTGATTTATCGTCTGTGTTGATGTCGATTCTCCTTCACTTTATTGTCATTCTATGCAAAAGGTTAGTATACCTAATACTAGTGGAATATTATTATTCTAACGTAATTATGCATTGCAAGCATCACTAGTTCTCCTCTATTTTGGCAATATTGACGGTCGAAACTGATCGATAACGACCGTCAACAACGTATCCTTTTGATTGTCTCAGCAGTTACAACTATGCATCATGTGTGATTTAAAAATATTTAAACATAACTAAGTATATTTTGCAAATATAGCATATGTTTAATATGATCCTTTTTATGTTTCACTCGATGGTATTTAGTGTTTCATGTAGTGGTTGTGATTGTTGCATTTAGTATTTTTTTTCGGTATGTTACATTTCTCTGAATTTGAAACACTTCATGAGGTGAGTTCAAATATGTTTTTATAAATGGTGAAACAATGGTTGATTTTCATACTCACATATATATAACCTCGTGGGTTCTTGTTATAAACATTTAATTACAATGAATGTAATGGTATAATTGAATCGTACATTGTATATGTCTTTTAAGATGAAAATATTATTTAAAATTTAATGGAAAAGTAGATACATGCAATATGATTGAAGGGAAGAGAAAAAGTAAAGTAACAGCTCAGGCAGACAAGCACCGCATACAGTAAACAAAGGGTAGTCAGCAACACATGCCTCATCACGCAGCAGGCTGCATGCATGCGCACAGTCGTGAGGCAGTTTCGTGTCGACGTCCGACCCATAGCATCCTCCAAAAACTTGCAATCCAACTCAAACCGTGGACGTAGTCGAACTAAAACTTGAGCTAAAACTGAAAAACGAACCTCTGTGGCTGTGTTCGAGCCGAGGATGAACCGCGAGCCGAGCATCGACGCCCATCGACCACGCACGGTGTGCCGCTACCCGGCTGCCGCGACGTGAGCATCTCCTCCTTCCTCCTTCCTTTCCGTGTTTTCCTCCCTCCTCTCTGTTCTTCTTTTGCTCTTGTCTTTGCCTCCGCGCGATGCCGCCGTCGTGCGCATCGTCGCATCCTCCTTGCGCGGCGCCCGCGCATCGCTCCTCCTCTATTGCCTCCTGGCAGTGCACGGCCTAGCCGCTGCGCCGCACCGCCTCCGTCCTCTTGCGCGCGCGATGTGTTCGGCCGTCGCCCGCGCCGCCGCGTTGCGCCATGCCCTCCCCGCTGTCGTCTTGGCCTCGCTCCAGGACGCCGCCGAGTGGCAGCGCCATGTGTGCGGCCCGCCATCGACACCCCCAACCTCGCCGCCCGGCTCCTCCTCCCCGTGCCTCTGCCCTTCCTCCACTTCCACTGCCACCGCCGTCTCCGCCCGACCCAAGCCGCCATGGCGTCGGGCCGAGCGCTGACGTGCGGTCACCTCCGCGGCCGCCGCCTTGTAGTCCCTCCTCTGCTTTCCCATCCACCGTCACCTCTGTTCCTCCCCTCTGTGTTGCCTCCCGGCCGCCGCGCCAAGCCGTCGCGCGCCGCCCGCACCGCGGCAGCCTTTCTTCACCGCCGCCAGTCTCCTCTCCATCCCCGCCGTCGTCCTCCTCTCCATCGCAGCATGCCGGCATCCTCCTCCACACCGTAGGCCTCCTCTTCCTCACGCCGCCGCGCCAAGCCGCGCGTCGCGCGCCGGCCGCCTCGCGCATGCCGCCCGCATCGAGCTCCCCACCGCGTCGGATCTCCAGCCTCCTCTCTCCTACCGCCGCCGAGCTCCTCTCCCCTTCCTCCGCCGCCAGCCTCCACGTCCATCGCCACCGGCCACCTCCTCTGCCCGTCGCCGTGCCCCGGCTCCCCTCTGCGCCCGGCTCCTCCTCTCTGCGCTGCCTGGCCGCCGCATCGAGCCGAGCCGCCTCTCCCCCGTGCGCACGGACGCGCTGTCGCGCCGCCGCGCCCGGCCGTCGCACGCCGACCGCCCGTCACCCTGGCCAACGCACGCGTGACAGAGAGAGCAGGAAGAGATGAGACCGAGAAAGAGAGAAGAAAAGAGGAAGCAAAATAAAAGGAAGTGGGACCCGTCTGTGCTCTCTCTCCCTCTAAAAGTCTACATCACCCAGCCTATACATCCTTGGCCGAGCCCGAGAGATTAAGGAATAAGTTCATCTCAAGTCACTTAATTTTACACCGAATCCGATTTTCGTCCTTTGAACCCCAAAACCAGATACAATCGGTCCCCAAACTGTTAAAACCGATGCAAATAAGATCCCTCGGTGGTTTTAAAGGTGGTTTTAGCTGACGTGGCGCCTACTGGCTGGTTTGATTAGGTATCCGTCCCACGTGACATTGAAAAAATAATAAAATAATAAAAATCGTGGGCCCACATGTCAGCTAAAAATAATAATTTAAAAATAGTGGGGCCCACATAGCAGCTAAAATAAATAAATATGGTGGGTGGGCCCCACATGTCATCTCCTCTACCTCCCCTTCCTTCTCCTAGAAGCCACCTGCAGCACCAAGCAAAAATGCCTCCCCGCTGCACGGGCGCCGCCTCCGCGCACAGCCGAATCGGCTGCAGCTGCTTCTGCCTCGCTCACGGCCGGCGCCCGGCAGAGCGTGGCCAAGCCGCTGGGTACCCGCACCGCCACGCCGACCTCCCCTTCTCACGGTCGCCTCTGCTTCCGCCTAGCGGGAGCGCCACCGAGGCCGCCGCCGCCGTCCCTCGAAGTTGTTGCCGTCACCGTCTTCATCGGCGCTGGGACGCCGCCACGCCACGTGAAGCGCCGCCTCTTGGACGCCGACCCCGCGGCCTCCTCACGCTCGCCGGCGCCGCCGCCGCATCGGCCGTCGTCGTCGCGCCATCCTTCCGGGGCCGGCTCGCCACCAGCGCCACCATCCCCCACCGGCGCCTCCGCCTTCATCGGCCATACCGCCGCCACGGCCACAGCCTCGCTGGATCGAGCGTCGGCCGCGTGGCCGCCTCCTCCGCGCCGTGGTTCGCCTGGCCCCGCGGCGACCTCCTCAACCTCGCCGCCTCCTCCATCTCCATGGAGATAGAAGGGACAGCCGGCCGTGGCGGCGCGGAGTTCGAGTTCGACAAGGGGAGGGTGACG